CTGCTCTGCTCATTACAATACTCATTCTATTTGTTATTCCAGAATCACAGATAAAAGCCAGTTAAGATGTTTAAATTCATTGTAATTTTGTCTTTTGACAAGTAACAGGATGAGGGGGAGAGAGAGGGCCCTTCTCCGAGTGCTCAGCTGGGAAAGCCAAGCTGCATTTAAGTAAAGTGCTTTGCTGACGGAGTCTGCACAGACAGGCTTTTTGAATACCATCACCCTGAAGGCATAATAACAAAATGATCAGCAGTTATCAGTCTAGCTCCACCACTAGAGAGAAAAAAATTTTCCTAGTGCAGTTATTGCCCTGGGCAGAGTAATTTCTCTACCAACAGCAGAATAAATGGGCAAAGGAGAAGGGGAAAATGAGGAGGCGAAAGGAGCCAGAGGCGATGGGTGAGGGAGCTTGTGGTGAGGGCATGTAGGGTTGAGCCCCACCAGAGGCTCCTCTGGAGTCACAGTCAGTATCCCCTCCCCTCACAAGTGCAAGAAGGGCACTGCATCCAGAGTCAGAAGACCTGCTGATAGTTGTAACTGACATGCCACGAGTGCCACGTGTCTCCTCTCTGGGCCTCCAATTTCTAGTGGGTCAAATGAGGCCCAGGATGTATTAACTCTAACGTCCTCTTTGGCTCTAACAACCCTTCAGATGCTGAATAGCAAATAACTCTTGACAAGAAAATCGGCCATGCAGCCTCTCTGGGTGTTAAGCAAGCCTGGGCCTCCATTAAAGCGGAGGCGCAGACCCCCAAACTACCAAGAGCCAGTCAGGTCTGTGGCCTAGTGACCAGACCCTGCTGGCCTCAGCTCCAGACTCCCTACCTACATCTCTAAGAGTCCTCCTGATGCAGGCTCAGCTTACATCACACCCAGCTAGTGAGTCTTAGCAGTTACCACCACAACCCTTCCTACTTGTTGACGGCCTCTGGGCAGTGAGGTCACTGGATGGACAAAATGCCTTCCTCACCCCTCACAACTGACTGACACCCCTAGTCTGAGTCAAGAGGAGCCACAGCACCCGCAGAAGATTCTATTGCTCACCTTCTCATATACAATTCTGCGAGGCGCAGGTCCCTGGCTGCCACAAGTGTTCAGTGCGCTCCTGCTCTGTACCAGGTCCTGTGTGAGGTATCACAGGGGACAGGCAGGAGATACTGTCTATGTCCCTGAAGAGAAAGGGAGGCAAAACCGGCACTGCTGACTGTCACCCAAAACATACACTCCTTACAAACCTCACCTCCCTGGCTTTGCACATGCTGTTTGTCCACCCAGAGTACCCTTCCTCCTCTGCCCCCCTCTCTACCTGCTCAGGCTCTCAAGAGTTAGAAAGAACTGGGGTCAATAATCTCCTTTACCACTTGAGTCTGGAAGTTTGAGGTTGCAGAGAGCTATGAGCACACCATAACATTCCAACCTGGGGGACAGAAAGAAACTCTGTCTAAAATATATAAATAAATAAAAATCTCCTCCAGCATCTGTGCAATCTTGGCAAAGTTACTTATCTGTTAAAAAAAAAAAAAAAAAAGGCCCAGCGCCCTATAGCACAGTGGTTATGGCACCAACCACATATACCGAGGCTGGAGGGTTCGAACCCGGCCAGGGCCAAATGCAACCAAAAAATAGCCAGGTGTTGTGGCAGGCACCTGTAGTCCCAGCTACTGAGAGGCTAAGGGAAGAGAATCGCTCAAGCCCAGGAGTTTGAGATTGCTGTGACCTATGGCGCAACAGCACTCTACTGAGGGCAACATAGTGAGACTCTGTCTCAAAAAAAAAAAAAAAAAGGCATAGTATGGCAGCACCCAAGGCTCAGTCAGCAGGGTGCCGGCCACATACACCTCGAGTGGTGGGTTTAAGCCTAACTTGGCCTTCTAAGCAACAATGACAACTGCAACCAAAAAATGGCTGGGTGTTGTGTTGGGCACCTGTCCTCTCATCTACTTGGGAGGCTGAGACAAGAGGATCACTCAGGCCTAAGAGTTTGAGGTTGCTGTGAGCAGTGACGCCACGGCACTCTACCCAGGGCAACAGTTTGAGACTCTGTCTCCAAAATAATAATAATAATAATACTTGGCTGGGCACCTGTGGCTCAAGCGGCTAAGGCACCAGCCACATACACCTAAGGTGGCGGGTTCAAATCCAGTCCGGACCCGCCAAACAACAATAATGGCTGCAACCAAAAAAAAATAGCCGGGCGTTGTGGCAGGCGCCTGTGGTGCCAGCTACTTGGGAGGCTGAGGCAGGAGACTCACTTGAGCCCAGGAGTTGGAGGTTGCTGTGAGCAGTGAAGCCATGGCACTCTACCCAGGGGCTCAGCTTGAGGCTCTGTCTCAAAAATAATAATAATAATAATACCTGAATGAAGGTCTTTGGTGAGCAGATTAGCCTTCTGTGACTTTTCCCTTCCCTGAATTCCTACAACAAATGGTTGGACCCATCCTTTGGCCCTTCTCAGACCCAACTGCTACTTGTTGGCAGTTTCCCTTCTTGTGTGTAGCTCATTTACCCAGATGCAATGCAAACAATGCTTTGTCACTCAACAAATATTTGCTGATCGATTAGCCAGTAAATAGCAATGGAGGTCAAAACTGGACACCACCAGATTTCCTAAACACATGGTGAGATAATAGGAGCTGCTCTGGAATAGAAAGAGGCAAGCCAGGTCTCAGAAATAAAAGCCCTGACCCAGGGCAGCAACTGCCCCAGAGCAGCAACTGCCCCAGAGCATCTACAAGAAATGAGCCCCAGTCAGTCACAGGAAACACCTGAAGCCAACTGAGCATACTTGGGAAGTCCTTCTCTCTCCCCACCACCTTCCTCACTCTCTCTCTGCAAATGCCCCAAGAAACCTGTACCAACAGCACTGGGCATGTACCATACTTGCACAGCCCAGCAGGCCCACAACCAAACTTTCCCCAGGGACCTCAAAGCACAGAGATGAGGTGAAACCAACTATAGATTCTGAGCAGGGCCTCACCGGGAAACACTCCTTTGAGTTGGAGTGAAGGACATCTTTCAGCATTGCAGACTGACACCAATTTCTGCTAGTGCCCTCAACCTACAAGATCAGGGTTAGGAGACCAATTCACACCACTGTATAATAATAGATCTCTAGTTTCTACCCAAATCTTCCACCTCTCATTTACACTAGTTCACCTCCATAGACTTTGATTCTTCCATTTTCTTTTCAGAAGTTATATTTTGATTTTGTCTTTCCCTTTTCTTGGGAAAGACTCCGAGTACTTGGGAACCCCTTTTGGAAGTGGCAATCCTCATCCCGGGGCATGCTGGATCAGTATCTAGATAGACATTCATAGGAAGACTCTGGGTTGCAAGAGGCCAACTACATGAGTCATATGGAAATTAATCTTTCCCTCCAGCACTCTCAAATAAGAAGAATCTTCAAGAATGAGTCCACTGCAGCCATTAAAGGACCTGTTATAACCTAAAAGTGGAGAGTGATGGAGAATTTTAATGATGTTCAGACTCACAAGGTCTCCAAGATTACCTCCCCTTAGGGGTTCCAGTTCCATGATCCATATTCTTCCTCCCTCCTGTCCTGACCAGTTGTGTTGGTGTCACTGAAATGGGTATCAGAGGCTGCTCAGAGGGGCTATGGGCAAGTGTAACTGGAGTTCATAAGTTTTGTTCTAAAATAATTTTCCAAGACTATACGGCTAAAAGACGTACATATCTTCCATCTAACTACTTCAGGAACCCTCTGGAAGTTGCTCAGGAAAAAGAGGCTGAGTTTGAAAACAGACATCTACAGACATACTATTCTACCATAAATAGGTGAGTTTATCAAGAAATACCAACAGCACAGAGGAGAACAATGGTTCCAGTTTTCTTTTCTCTAGAAAGAGGCCTATTTCCCACGATGCCTACAGTTCTCATTCAATAACCATTTTAGGGCTGGAGCTCTTGCTAGTGCCTGGCACCATAATCAGGAAGTAACACCATTCTAAGGCAGCAAATCAGAGGGAAATCATCCCTCTCCTGGGCCCCATGTACCCACCCCACTCCTGGCCCCCATGTACCCACTACCTATGTTAAACAGATGGGTAACAACACATCTGCAATCTCTACATTGCAGAAAGGCAACTAGGAGATAACGTTAAGTACCGGATGTCTGACAAAAAGCACTCAGTAAATATTAATTACTATTATTACATATCCTCAGTTTTAAGCATTAAGTTTTTCAAAATTTAGCATTTCTCCAACAACATACACCTTCAAATTTCTATACATTTAGTGGTTTCCTTATCCCTCTTCCCCATGGCTGTCATAAAGGAATGGTGTCGCTCACATGTGATGGAATCTTGGAATCAAGGAAATATGGTCTTAGTGTTCATAAGGGAATATGGTACAAGCGCCAGACAAATAACAAAGGGCTCTGGGTTAATGGGGTTAAAACATAAGGGTGTGAGACGAGTTACCCGACCCACATCAAAGATGAAGATGATAAAAGATGTCTATGTGGCACCTGGATCAACTAGCCAGAGGGATGGAGGAAGGGGGGGGGCAGCAAAAGGAATGTCAGTTCCCTTTTCTCCCCAGCACGATCCACGGCAGCTAGGAAACTTGGCAGGAAGGCGTGAGTCCCCGCGAGAAAGGAAGGGACTGTCACAACGTAGGATCATAGGAAGCCATAAGGTGTTAGTGGAACGTGAGGAGGAACAAAGGAGACCCCCTGGCAGGAGTGGGGACCATAACCTACCTAGCAAGGGACGGAGAGAGTAAAACAGAGCGTGTCTGGGGGCCCAGGCGGCGGAGAGGGAGGAGAAGCCCAGGATGTGGACCAAGAGAAAAGACAAGGAAGAAATGTGAAAGTGGGGGGCGTGGGATGGGCAGCGAGAAAGAGGTGGGCGGGGGTGACAGGAAAGCGGGGGCGCACTCCCAGAGGGAGTGGCCCTCAGTGTGGCAGGTGGAGGGAGTCGGGCCGGGTGCGCAAGAAGCGGCCGAGCACCGGGGGAGGCAGGCCGCCGGCAGCTTACCTTTGATGTCTCTGGCCAGCGCCCTCCACGTCGGGGCGAAGGCGATGCAATGTCCGCACCAAGAAGCGAAGAACTCCACCGCCCAGGCGCTACGGGAGTCCAGCACTACATCTCGCACCGTGTCCGCCTGCAGCAGCGTCAGCGGGTCGGAAGGCGAGTAGAGCGCCGAGACCCCGGCCGCGCCAGCGCCCGGCACCGCAAGCAGCAGCAGGAGCAGCAGCAGCAGCAGCGACGGCGGCGGCCCACAGGAGCGGCCGCACATCCTCATTCTCTGCGGATGCGGCCACCACTGCACTCAAGTTTCGGTTGAGTCGGCGCCGGGCTGCGCCGCGGCACCTCCTGTCTTCGCCGGCGAGGCGGAGCCACCTGGCCCCGCCCCGGGCCACACCCCCTGACACGCCCCCAGATCCGGTACCGTCTCTTGCTCCGCCCCGCCAACAGGCCTAGGGGGCCTACCATGAGGCGGGGCCCTCTGAGCTGCGGGGCGCGGCTGGGCCGGGCGGCGAGCTCACTTTTAGCTGTTATTGGCCGCAGCCTTGGGGATGCGCTAGACAGGCACCCGCCTCTGGCCCCAGGAGGCGGGGAGAGCAGAGCCCAGTCCCTGGAACCAATCCTCAAAAGAAAGGAGTGGGGCGCCCACTGGCAGGGACCTGGACGCGGGTTGCGGTCTCATTCGGCGAGGTCATTTGGCCTTTCGCGGCCCCCGTATCCAACGGAAGCGGAATCCTCTGGAATAGACGATGCCGATTTATACCGCTCCGGGAAAGTTCCGGTGATCCCACCGAGCGATAAGACGTTGTGAGTTAGAAGAAAGGTGGGAGAGAAGAGGGACGCGTGGTAGAGAATGATCTCTGAGTCTGTGACCGCCATGACCCCACAGGGATCAGATGCACCCACCCCTGTGGACACCTGTGACCGTGTAAAGGAAACATTGTTTGAGGGCTTTCTAGTAATGGCTATGAACCATCTGAAAACCACTGGCCTAGAATTAAGAGAAAACGTAAGAATCACAACTTGCCCAGCTTGCCCCTCCTGGAATAAAAAGGTAGCAGAAATCTAGGAAGTGGATGTGTGAAGAAGGGAAGGAGCTCAGAGAACTAACAGCGCTGAATAAGAAGCCTTCACCCATTGTGGGCTGGGCTGGATTGGCGCGGTCATTACAGTGGAATCCGGGTTTGCTCAGCCCCCGACGTCTGCCGCCCTTAGCCCAGATACCCCACGTTCGTCATACTCACTCAGATATTCCTCTCGCAAGTAACTTGATCAACTCATCTTGTGTTCATGGGTACGAAGGTGTTAGTGGATTGTCCCTGGTCACCTTTACTAGCTCCACTGTTTTGAATAAGGGGAGAAGGTGCTCCTCAGAGGATTGTCACAAGTGGTCTTTTTTCCTTTGCGTTTGCTGTTAGCCCACCTCACCTGTAAGCCCTCTGAGATTAGATTTACTGCTCATGGATTTTTTTTTTTAAAGAGTCTTGTGCCAGGCCCTGTTCTAGGTACTAAGAAGAAGACAGTACATAAAATATAGATGTCTAGGGAAACTTCAGTTCTAGTGGGAAAGAGAAAAGATATGTAAGTAAATGTAGATCAGATGGTGACATATTTATGAAGAAATATAGACTAGGATAAGAGTAGAGTGACAGAAGAGGTGATCAGGGACAGGCCTACATCTGATATTTGCAGGGACTGAGTCAATACATGTAGTACATGTAGAGGACCATACCATGTTTACATATTTAAAAACTATAAACCAAATAAACTGTCATGCAAAATTCTATCTTTTTATCTTGACATATATGCCTTCATAATAATCTGGAAGGCCAAATTTAAGTTTAGAATTCTGGACTCTTCTGAGATATGCACTAGAACAGTGGTTCTCAACCTTCCTAATGCTGCAATGTGTTTTCATTGTTAAAAGGGGGTCGCGACCCACAGGTTAAGAGCCGCTGCACTAGAATATGGTGGTTTGGGGGGGGGGTAACCAGCCCCCAGCCTTCCTTCTGTTTGCCTCCCGCCTCTATCCCAGACTTCAAGTAGCTTGTACCCATACCTGTAACAACCTTGTCTGTACACCTGAGCTTCATCTGTGTCTTCACATAGCCTCTCCTTGACAACTCCTTGGCTTCTCAAGAGGATAGACCTCAGGCAAAAGCTAATGCAGGCTGTAGCTGCTGGCCTGCTGCTATTGGGGCAGTGGAGGCAGGGTTTCTTAGATCAGTGTGTTCTTAGAGTTTTTGGTGGGTTCATTCCGTTGGCCCATGAACTTATTGTTCTGTGGAAAGGTGCATGGCTGGAAGAGGGCCCAAGCACTCAGGGCCCAGGATTAGGGCCCCTCTTGCTCCAGTCTACAGGCAGTTGTAACCAGTTATCATTTGAGCCAAACACCCAAATGAAGTATGGGAGAGAACCTTGTGGCAACCTGGGATAAGAACATTCCAGGAAGAGGTCCAGTGGTTGGAGTTTTTCCTCCCTTCATGTGTTCATATTCTCTCTGCCCAAAGTCTTACACAGCAGAAAGAAATTATATGTTGACCATGTAGCATATCAGTGTCCTCTAACACTCTTCCCCCCACCTTCAACACCAGTCAATTCCTGCTTCTGTACTGCTCCCTGTGACTCAGTCTCTGTATAGCTTCTGCTGCCTCACTCTCCTCACTCTTAGCTGCCACTGGGATCAGGCCCAGCTCAGGGTCATCAGGATGGTCCCTTAGGAACCTTGGATTCCAGGGTTTGAAATTACTCCAGCAGCTGGATCAGGTACCAGTAAAGAGTGATAACTTCAAACCTTTCCATTGTTAAACAGAGTTGTAGTTATCTTTCCCAAGGCCTAGAGATTAAGGGGACAGTGTCTGCCAAACATGCTGAGTGCCTGGGAGAAACACCTCAGACAAGTACACAAAGACTTGCTTGTTCACATATCTGTTTCACAGCACTGGAAATGGAAAAGAATACAAACTATTTAAATGGAGTAGAGAAAGTTTCTTGGCTCATTGGGGCTGGGGAAGTTTAAGACTGACAGTTGTAAAGTCTGGGATTTCTACGCCTCATCACAAAGGGGATTTTCAGCTCTTTAAAGCCTTGGAAGCCTTTGTTCAACCAGAATCTTGAAAGGAAGCTTAAATAGCTAAAAGGAGGCTGAAAGATGTGACCTAGAGCAAAACCCACTTTCTGTGGTCCATGGAGCTTTCTTGGGAACTCCAGGCTCCCTCTGGCCTCCATTCAGAAATCACTGGTCTAGAATTAAGAGCAGAAAACGCAAGAATCACAAGTTGCCCTGCCTTTCCTTCTTGGGACTTCCTTGGATGAAAAGGTGGCAGAAAAGAAAATCTACTCAGAAATGGGTGTCAAGAAGGGAAGGAGGACTGAGGAAAGCACTGAAGGTGTGGGAACACTTAGACATCCTTACTAAGTTTCCTTTTCTTCTCCTTTGTACATACATGTTATAGGAAAGTAGGCCAAGATGAATCCAATGAGAATGATCATGGTTTTAGCGCTTTGCACCTGTTGTCCTAAGCACTTAATCCCCACACTCTTTGTGGTTGATATTAAACCATTTTTACAGATGAGGAGACTGAGGTAGAAGAGGCCCTGTCGACTTTCCCACTTGTGAATCATTCATGTGTTATTCTTTAATAAAAAAGAGGGAATTTGGAAGTCTGCCAACCTAAAATGAGAGAGATGGTGAGATGAATGCAGTTTATACAAGCATATACATAATTATTGTGAGCAACAAAAGAGCGTTTGGTAAAATGCATCACTTTGTAGCAAAGCATTAGATGACTTTCCCCTTACTCATTTGCACCAGGGATCTGAGAGTGTGCGTGCACCTGGAGGCAAGTGGCCTGCAACAGAGAAGGGACCCCTTGTCCCTTCAAAACTCACCCTAGATCTTCCAGATGAACCTTTCTATAGCTGGGAGCAGTTGGAGTCCCAGTTGTGAAAGTTGGAAGAGAAGTAGTAAGAATCTGTGAGTGAGACAATGGCAGGAAAGAGAAGGCATGTTCACATGACCTACCGAAAGGGTTTGTTTAGTGGAGCTTGCAGGGTGAAGGGAACTAACTTAGGGGCTGACAACAGCAAAAAGTCCTTCAGCACTCTGGAAGAGAGAAGAGGAGAGAAATCTATAATGAAAACCAGTGAGAGCTGGAGTCAAGGTGGGGCCAGGGGCAACCACCTGGAGTTGTAGCTGCAAAATGCCACCACTACCAGAAACACAGGGAGGCAGCTAGTAGAGAAAGGAGGCCCTGGGAAAGAATTTCCACTTCTTCCTCCTCTGGTCCTCTGATCTCTTGCCAGCGCCTGCCTTTGGCCAATCCCAAACAAAGCCAGAGGGTGAGGGTGTCCTGATTGTGCAGTCTATAGAAGTTGGCTTCCAAGACAAAAGGCAGGTTAGAGGAGGGTATAGAATGAATACTCTACCTAGTACAGGGTCCCTAAACTTGGGCCCTTCAAGGCTTTAGAAACAAGAATGGAAAACACAAAAATCCCTGAATATCCTTCTGTGAGTATCCTAAGTAGGAGTGGGAGGGCTGGAAATCTAACCACTGGAGAGCATAACTGAGAAATGGGGGTAGCAAATAGATTCCTTCCCAGCTCTTCATCCTGTCCTGTTTACACAGTCTGATTGGCTTATTCTTTATCTGTAGAGGAAACTGAACCCCGGAAAAGCAGAGAGACTATTTCCACGCCACCCACAAGGCAAGGTAATGGGAGAGTCTGTTTTTGTCAGGCTTTCCAACATAGCTGCGGGAGTATTGAGAACAGGGACGTAAGTGAAAGATATTCAGGGCAGATAGAGTTTCCCTGGGCCCCAGATCACCTGATGGCAATTCAAAGGGAATAAGTGCCCCACCTCCCCTACACACACACAGAGATACAAAGAAGAGTTAATTATTTAGAGTGGAATGAAGATATAAGACTATAAACACAAGGCCTTGCTGTCTGGTCTGTTCCAGCCAATGTCAGGGGTGAGGCCTTTTGAGAATCCACAAAACATCAAATAAGGCCCAAAGCCAAAATAAGAAAGCCACATAGCTAAGTTTCTGAGTCACAGGGTGCCCAGTCTTCCCCACAGAAGACTTCTGGGGACCTTTCCAACTGTGTCATATTGTGACAAAATATTTTGGGGGAAACTCTGGGTTTCTGGAGTAGTGTTCCAATTTAGAATATTTCTTCCCATGACTTAAGGGTGGCTATGGTTCTTACATAAAAGATAAATACACTCAAATACAAAAAGAAGCATTGTATAACACTATTTCTGTGAGAAGGCATAATTTATAAACTTTTTTATAATAAGAAAATTCTCAGAATTCGTCTGAAGAAAAAATGATCATAATAGTGTCAGCATGGCTCAGCG